CACCCGGTTCAGCAACCGGCGGTGGATACAATGGCCATGATGAGGCAGATGTTTGAGTTCATGAACACTGCCCAACGCCAAAACCAAGAGCAGATGTCTCAAATGCTCCAGCAGCAGGTGCTGTTGCAGCAGCAGATGCTCCAAGCTCATGTAGCTGCACAGAAGCCTCAGAGGAAGAAAGGCAACCCACCCCAATTCAACGGACAGTCCAACGACGACTTGGAGTTATGGCTGTTTAGCACTGAGCAGTACTATTCTAACTACAGCGAGGAGATGGAGGCTGAGTCGTCCGACTTTGTCGATACTATTTTTGGTAACTTGGGCCCGGCAGCTCAGACGTGGTACCGCGACTTTAAGATTTCTCTTGGTGACCAGCCAGCTACGTGGACCATATCCAAACAACGAATTCGTGAGCGCTTCCGAGAGGCAGACTTCCAGCATAAGGTGCTGTCGAGGTTGCATAACCTTCGATGGAGTGGGTCCCAGCAGGCGTACACAACGAAATTCCTGCACTTGCTGTCTCAACTCGACTGCGAGCTGCCTGAAGTGGTCAAACGTTGGTATTACCAACAGAATCTTCGCTCTGACACTAGCGCTTTTGTGTCACAAAATGTGCCGTCGACACTTAAAGAAGTCATCGAGCTAGCTCAACGCTTCGAAGATTCTCGAGCGACAATCCCTGGACCAGGTGTTCAGAAGGATCAGCGGGGCGATAAACCTCAAAGCAAGCCACAATCTCAAAAGAAGAACCATGTAGCGTCATCCAAGCCCCATCAGTCTCTTGATACGACTGGGAGGAATGGTGACAGGCCTAGTTGTGCGTATTGCGAAAAACCAGGTCATACCGAGGCTGTCTGCTTCAAGAAGAAGGCGGATGCCAAGGTGTCGACTTCAAAAAACGCTTAGGCCCGGTGGGTTGGCATCCCGCTGGGCCAGAACAGTCAGTCCGTGGTAGCCGTCCACGTTCTGAAAGCCCCCTACCGAAACAGCTTCATTACCATGCGGATGACGCTGTTCTATCGACTAAAGAGAAAGTGTACGGCTATTTATCCCAAAGAGGTCGAATTGCTGACGCTGCTATATCAATTTTCATTGATAGTGGCGCGTCATTCAATG